TTGGTTAACATCTGAGCTTAAAACAAAAATCCAGAAACAATGTATTTCCTTAAGAATCTCATGCTTTCAATCCAGTCTTTGTGGTGGGGCTTCCTCCCAGAGCAGTGTTGAAATGGGAGGGTGTGGACTGCATTGAAATCTCTGTAGGATGCCTTTGCTCAAAGACCTTACATTCCTTATTTACCTAAGCCCGAGCAGGCTTGTTCCTCAGCTTCTAATGCACCAGAACTGAGCCGGCTTCTGGGCCCCCCCGACCAGTGAGGACAGCCGATTAATGGCATGCTGAAAGCTCGCCCAAGTTGTGAGCGCGAAGAACATTTACGAGGCTGATTAAATCATTCTCCTGCGATGGCATCCAATGGTGATTTTACAAATCTAATTAAGTGTGCTTGAACTTGGTGATAAGAAGCACTCCCCTTGTTGGGTATAATGGGGGGATCTGTTGTTAAAAGAGAAAAGAGAGTTGCATCCCTGCATGGAGGGGCTGATGGGAACACCCCAGAAAATGTACGATATGTGTCTGTAATTTATTGTGGGGACGGGGAAGTCTAAAGGGCTTTCTTTATGGTGGAAATACTATCATTGTCTGAATACCTTATACAAAACAACGGTTGGTCTTTCTGCTTTGCCGCTGGCCAAAGGAGTCGGTAACAAATCAGAATCACTCACGGTAGAATCAGATTCTCAATATAAATTCTCAAGTAAAATGCAAAATATTTTATGTTGTCACTGAAATGTTTGCAAGACAGAAAATGTGTGTGTGTGTGTGTGTGTGTGTGTGTGTGTGTGTGTGTGAGTGTGTGTGTGTGTGTGTGTGTGCGCGCGCAGAGGGTGAGGGTGAGCCGGAGAAGGGGGTGGGATGAGGCTCTTCAGGAGAAGGGGGTGGCATGGGGAGGACCAGCAGATCTCTCCCTGCCCATGGGGGACGGGGGGGAGAGGGAAGGAAGAACAAGCCAGGAAAACCCTTGTCAGCTGTCTGACCTGTGTGACCGGGGCTGCTCACCTTACAGAAACGCCAAGGGGAGAATGAGGTGGTATTTGGGGCCCACAAAGGGTCCTGTGTCTATTCAAGTCCCTTTTCCTCCCACAAGGCCCAGAATTCGGGCACAAGATTGGGGTTTCCCCTGCCGCCAGGCCAAGGCAGCCAGGGGCACTGCCTTCTGTGACACTTTCGTCGGCACTAATTCCTTAGGGCTCATTGGTTTCTGGGTTTCTCATGTTGTTTGCATATGAATGTGGACACCCACTTGGATACAACTGACCGAGTGGCCCCCTGTTCTCCACCATCTGGAGGAAACCATTTTCTGGCACCATCTTGGTTGACATTCCTTGGGAGGTCATCACCCAGACCACGGCCTCACTTGTTCACGCTTAGACATTTGCTATAGGTTATCCCTCTGGGCATCTTTGAAGGTATTAAATAGAACCCCAATTGCCACGGCTTCTGAGGACCTCTGCTCTTGCCCCTCTCCCTTTGGAGAACTTTCACATTAAATATTTATTCCAGTCTTACTTTTCCCTTTACTCAGGTTCCACCCGTATGGTTTCATCACTTCCATTCCTTTGCAGGTTTGTTTTTTGTTTTTTGTTTTTTGGCGTTTTTTTTTTGTTTGTTTGTTTGTTTTTTTGCTGCCACAACACTTTCTTGGCACATTAGTTTTCAAAGTGTGAACACACACTCACACACACACATGTTCACTCACTCAGATTTATAAATATATGTCATCAGCACCTGTTTTAGGGCAAACATACTCAATAAAAAATGTGAAAAGAGGGGCGCCTGGGTGGCTCAGTCGGTTGAGCATCCGACTTCAGCTCAGGTCACGATCTCGTGGTCTGTGAGTTCGAGCCCCATGTCAGGCTCTGGGCTGACGGCTCAGAGCCTGGAGCCTGCTTCCGATTCTGTGTCTCCCTCTCTCTCTGCCCCTCCCCTGTTCATGCTCTGTCTCTCTCTGTCTCAAAAATAAATAAAAACGTTAAGAAAATTTTTTAAAAAATGTGAAAAGACATAGTGCTTACAGTAAAAGAGCTGTTAGCCTACCAGGGAGAAAGAGATTCAAGTGATGAGGTTTTTTTTTTTTTTCTGGTTTAACAGAATCAGATAATTCTAAGGCAAACCAAAGAGCATTTTCACAAAGAAGGAGGTAATCATACAGAATTTGGAAATCACCTAGTAACCGTAGATGATATGAGCTCAACGTAAACGACCGTTTCCACTGTAAATGCCAACAGTGAATCCTTCCTGACACAAGTCGAGTTTGTAAAAGTTAGTTCAGGTCATTGAAAACCATTCAGCTCATTGTAGGAGTACAGTTTTTGGTGAAATGAAATGAACTTTAGTTGACATGGGAGCGGGATTGAAATGGAGCTATGGATTTACAAGGTTAAAGGCATTAAAGACTTTTCAGAAATAGCCGCCCTGCCTGGAATTCTAAAGGTATTCCAGTTAGAGAAGAATTTGCTTGTATTATTCAGGCAAAACACTTAAATATCCATATAAGTTTTACTTTTTGTTCGATTATAATTAACATACAGTGAGCCTTCTATTAGTTTCAGGCGTACAATACAGTAATTCAACAATTCTATATATTACTCAGTGCTCATCAGGATAAATGTAACTCTTAATCCCCTTTTCCTGTTTCCCCATCCCCCCCCCACCTCCCTCTGGCGACCACCAGTTTGTTCTCCATATTTAAGAGTCTGTTTGTCTCTTTTTCCTTTGTTCATTTGTTTTGTTTCTTAAATTCCACATAGGAGTGAAGTCATATGATATTTGTTCTTCTCTGATGAACCTATTTCACTTAGCATTATTCTAAGTCCACCCATGTTGTTGCAAAAGGCAAGATTTCATTCTTTTTTATGGTTGAGTAACATTCCTCTGTGTGTGTGTGTGTGTGTGTGTGTGTGTGTGCGTGCACATGTGTGCACACCACATTTGATCCATTCGTCTGTCATCGGACACTTGGGCTGCTTCCATATTATTGGCTGTTGTAAGTAAGGCTGCAATAAACATAGGGGTGCATGTATCTTTTCAAATTATTGTTTCTATTTTCTTTGGGTAAATTCCCATTAGTGTAATTCTTGGATAATATGGTAATTCTATTTTTAATTTTTTGAGGAATCTCCCTAATGTTTTCCAGAGTAGTTGTACACGTTTGCATTCCCACCAACAGTGATGAGTATTTATTTTTTTCCACACCCTCGCCAACACTTGTTTCTTGTGTGTGTGTGTGTGTGTGTGTGTGTGTGTGTGTTTTAATTTAGCCATTCTCACAGGGTTCTCATTTGCATTCCCCTAATGGTTAATGATGTTGAGCATCTTTTCATGTGTCTATTGGCCATCTGTAATTTTCTTTGGAAAAGTGACTATTCACGTCATCTGCCCATTTTTTAATTGGGTTATTTGTTTTCTTGGGGTTGAGTTGTATAAGTTCTTTATATATTTTGGGTATTAACACCTTAATGTATATATCATTTACAAATATCTTCTCCCATTCAGTATATTACCTTTTTGCTTTGTTGTTGGTTTTTTTTTTTTGCTGTATGGAAGCTTTTTGATTTTGGTGTAGTCCCAATAGTTTACTGTTGCTTTTACTTCTCTTGCCAAAGGAGACACATCTAGAAAAGTCTTTCCGTGGCCAATATCAAAGAAATTATTGCCTTTGCTTTCTTCTAGGATTTTTATGGTTTTAGGACTCACACTTAGGATTTTAATCCATTTTGAATATCCATTTTGAATCCATACAAATTTTGGACAGTCATTTCCTTTAAAAATACTTAAGAGAAACAGACCTAAGGATTACTTTCAAATTAGCAAATCCTTTTCACATTTTATTCATCATTGATATTATTGTAACAATACTGAAAAATCCATTTTTTTCACTTTATTCGCACTTAGTACTGGTAAAGTACGGATAGAAGATTCAGTGAGATTTTTGTAACATTTGGATATGTCCGATTCAACTATGATAAACCTATATACAATTTGATTTCTAATTTACTTTTAAGTAAGTAAAATTATTTATTAATATTATTCTGAAAAAGCTCTGATTTCTCCAGCTAAGCCTTCCAGGCTCAATAAATTAATCAGCTCCGTTCTGAAGGTGGTCGACTGCCTTGGATGTTCCTATATGGAGAAATGGAGTGCCAACTTTGTAAAATTCATTTCATATATTATTTTACTTTAGTACATATATATATATATATGTGTGTGTGTGTGTATACACACACACACACATATGTATATATATATATATATATACACTCACATATATTAAATTTTGCATACATTTTCAGCATATTTGCAGATCGCTTGAAGTCCACCCCAAGAAAATGGCGCGGGCGACACCATTACCACTGTTATCACTGTTATTACATTTGTAGCTGCTGCTCTGTATTCAGTAGTTACTGTAATTCTAGGCCTTCTCCTAAGAGCATGAAAAGATGGTCTCTTTTAACATCTATTAAACATTCGTCCTGACAGTATTAATGCAGATAGATGCTGTGTGCCTGTAAGTCCAGTAACATACAGAATATCTTATGTAGGTGTGTTTCATAGAGAGGAAGGGAATAGGGGCATACGATTTTCTGATCGTTTGTGCCCAAGCTCGTTGTCAATGTCTCAGTTCTATTCCAAGATTCTCAGAGGAAATTGAGACAAACGATATGTAAGATTCTTCTACACATGTGCTCATTTACCTGATGAAGATTTTCCATCCAAGTGAACCGTGCAACTTCTTGTGGGTGATTTGTCCATTTCTATCACAGCGTCACTGCACAATCGCCAATGCACCTGCAATGAGGCCACCGAATGCATTTTCCCTGCATGATCATCCTCCTGTGACTATGTGGGTAGTAGAGAAGAGCACCTGAAATAATAGGCCAGCGGCTTCTGTTTTGCAAGATCAAGTTCAGAGACAAGGGTCTTACCATTAAAAGCAAACGTGATCTGATCTGTCGCGAAAACAATGGTGATGTTAATAAGTATGTTTCATTTCCAGCGGTGATTTGTCCTGGCATCGAAGCTCAGCTCCCGGAGCACGTCACCTGGAGACTGGTTTCGGGGTCACTGAATGAGTATGGAGCTCAGGTCGTGCTGAGCTGCAGTGCTGGCTATTACCTGGAGGGCCAGAGGCTGGCACAGTGCCAAGCCAATGGAACGTGGAGCCTAGGCGACGAGAGACCCCGATGTCGAGGTGAGTGACCAGTGCACTTCCCAGGTCAGGTAGCCATTCTGAATTAGTGACGTCACTGACCGCCACCTTTTAACCCCCCCACCGTAAGTGACTGCCCCTATGGATTAATAATGTAACCAAATGGCGTTTCTCATCATTATAATGATGAATATGGATTTTTATGTGACATACTTAAAATGTATGTTGGCTGGGTTAAATATTAAATGTTCTATTTATTAATGATTGCATTGTATACATTTTAAAATATTCGAATACTCCCGATATTTCAGATCAACTCAAAAACAAATCCAGGCCTATGTTTCAAAAGATAACTCGTTCCATGCACTGACTATTCAAACCCTCTAATTAGGATCTTGGGAAATATTATTTATGCTGAAGATATTGTGTTCTCAAATAATGACTGTCTTGAAAAGGGAGATTATTATTCTCATAGGTACAAGATAAGCAATTAAGCCTTTGAGTGGGTTTTATAACAAATATGAATAAATAGAAAAATAAAACAATATTAGTATTGTTCAGAGCACTATTTGACTCAGATATATTTAACACATACTCTTTAGTGGGTTGTTCAGAGGAAATTATCATGCACAGAAACAAGTAGTCAGACCAGTGTCAAATTTATCAAGCACACAGCTTAATAAGAAGAAACCAGAATAAAATAAGAAAAATGACAAAAGAATGCTTTGTTGTCTTTGACATAGCCATCCTAATTCAACTTTGAATAGAGCCAACGGTAAGTAAACATGTATCAAGCGCTCAGGCAGGAGCACGAAGGTAAGTTAGGGAGGGTCAGTGAACTTGAGGACCTCTTCCATAGTCCGAGTGCATGACACCACCAGGTCCCCAGACAACCCTGCCTGAAGCCTGTTTTCCAGAGTAATCATTAACGGTTCCCTTGCCTTTGTCACAAGTGTCCTGGTTTGACTTCATTCATACTGAATTTCCTCCTTGTTCCTCTCGGTCTGAATTAGGGAATCCCCTCCTTCCCACATCCACGCGGGTCTCCCTTACAGGCACCCACTGCAAAGCTCCATGGTGTGATTCAGAGACTCGGTCACTAAGCTCAGCGAGGAGAGTGGAGGCGAAAGACTGGGGAGCCTCTACCTTTTGCCTCTCTCAGACTTTCTAGGCAACATTCCGTCAGTTTCGATCCAGAATCAGAGTCTTAAAAGTAGGCGCACGTAAACTTCTTGGAAGTGGGCAGTTCACGCGGGGCTTCTGCGGATGCAACCGTCCAGTCTAGTTTTTGCTGGGCTTTCTTGTTGCCTGGTGTGCCTGGGGAGGATGGTGTTAGTGTTAGGTGGGTATTTGCTATGCCACAACACGTTACACTAAAGTCCCAAATCTCCATTCCAGAAGAACTGACACAGGGAGACTCGTGTTTAGAAGAATGTTTACAAAAACCGGGGGCAGGGCCGGCCTGATTATTGAACCAAACTCCTTAGCAGGAGGTTTCTACTTCTTTGGGGGGAAGAAAGCAAAGTTGGGTTTCTACTATCCATAAATTGTGTATTTGCCTCCATTCTTCTGAAATTCTAGAAAGTCTGTCTTTCTGGCTTTAACATACCTCAGTCTGGTGATCCCAATACTAAGTTTGGTCCCAGAACAACAGCCAGAAATCCATGTATCTGGAGATCTCTCTAGCCAACTTGGCATACAAATGTATTTTGGAAATTGTCAGCCATTCAGTGGTATGGGTTGTTGTATCGTATCACACTTTGATATTTATCTATCTCAAATATCATGGACCTGTGGCCTTTTCCAGAATCAGTGGGTTCCAGTGAAATCACTGATTGCTGTTTTTTTTTTTAATCATTATTTGTAGTTTTCATCATGCCAGTGTGGCCAGAGTGAGTCCCTTCTCCCTGGTTTCTTCTTCTTCTCCTTATGATGTCTTTCAAGTTTTCCCTGTATTCTCAGGAAGACAGGATATTTTATGCTCATCCTGAGTTTTTCTTAACTAAACAAGGAATCAGCCATTCTCCAAGGAGCTCTGGAAACTTTTGGTGGAAAAGGGTGTTAGAGACCAGCATCTAGCATCTGTGCCCAAGGGTATGCATTATGTTGTTCATATTATCAGTGGTAGGAAAAGCTGACCAAGCTAACTATTACTTTTGTGACCAAACTGAAAATGTTGTTTTTCTTCCCCCAAAGAGACTTGATATGGATATTTTTGATTAATTTTTATCTCTACTGATACATTTTTTTAAATTAAAATAACTTAAATAACTCAGGGCGGTCATGACCCCAGGGGCAGCTGAGTCATGTTTGAATATTTTCACTTTGAGCAAGGCCTTCCTTTGACTTATAACCAGGCATCTTGGCGTCATTCCTCGGGGCCTACTAAAGCAATTCCAGACTGTGGTCTACACAGCATGCTTCACATACTTAACAGTCACCTGTCCTGTGATGCTATCTTCACGATAAACCACCCCGAACCATCCACAGTCATGTCATGTCATCTGTTTGTGTTCATGTTCATCTGCACATTCAGGAGGACTTTTCCAGGTAGAACGTACCGGAAAGTCCCTACTCTTGACCTTATATTTATTTGCCACACTCACTAACAGTATCCATATTTCTGGCAGGAGAGATGGCCTTACAGGTCTAGAAACACCATGTCACAACATGATTTTTTTTCTAAGTTGAGGATTTCAACACGCACATAATTGTAGAACTGAAGGCAAGAGGAAGGACGCTGCCCTGGGGGGAGAGACACCCATGGCTTGTGATCCCTGGTCACAGTGAGGGGAGGCGGTGTGGACCGCACAAATACTTGGGAGGAGAAAACAACATGGAAACGAGGCTCTACTTGGATGTTTGACAAAGCGTATGTGTATACGTGGTGTATATGTGTGTTGTGAGTGTGGTGTGTGTGTGGGGGGGGTGTGGTGTGGCGTGTGTGCGTGTGCGTGTCAGGGCAGCTTCCCCAAGTGAGTGTCGCTGTCACCATCGCAGTGTGGGTCCCCTGCCGGCTGAGCCCCCATCGCCCCGCTGCAGACAAGCCGCGGCCGTGCTTCCTTAGTCCTCCCTACAGGCTGGTGAGCCTGACAGAGGACAAGCCCCAGACGCCATGGGCACAGGGACATTTCCCCGGAGGTGAAGGAGCAGCGGCCATAGAGCGGGCTCGCTGTCCACCGAGGGTGCGTTCAGGCCCCAGGGGACCTCACGGCCGCTAGCGTGTTTCTGACTGTGCCGACGTTTCAGGACACGGTCTAATTATCCTGAGTGGCTGCATGCGGATCTTTAAATATCCTAACTCAAGGCGAAGCTCGCAGTGTGTTTGGGAAGGGCTTAGTGGAAAGTTCATGACAAATTGTAAAAAAAAAAAAAAAAAAAAAAAATTAACTTCTGCGGGAATCCGTTGACATTCGGCCCCGGGCACGTGTTAGCAGTGTCGCTGCACATGAGACACAGCCCTACGAGTTGAGCGATCCCAGAAGCTGGAACTTCAACAACAATAACGTTCCGATCACGACCTCCCCTGTCCAAATTCCTGCTGAGACATCCTCCCCAGGACACACGCCAGCTGCCTGTGTCCGTGTGTCTGTTTGAAATGGAACCACAGCGGGGACCCCTCAGAGTAAGATCGGCTTCATTCAAAACCCTGGTCTACGTGGCACAGCCGTAAACGTTGTCATCCCTTGAATCGTCAGTCGAGGCGTTCACACGGATTCAGCCCACGAAATAGGTCCCCAGGCAGGTCAGCTCCGCGTCAGTTGGCCCCGACCGAGCCCTGATCCGGTACCAGGCGTCGCTTTGGCACTTGCACGCACCCTCTCGTTAGAGCCAGCGCATGGCTCTGCGGGCAGGCGTTGGTAGGAATGCGTAAGAGAGGAACTAAGGAGGACCCCGGAGTCTTGGAGGAAACCGGCCTCCCCGTAACCGGCAAAGCGAGGACCGAAGCTGAGTAGCCTGGAGCCAGGGTCTGTGTTCTTCTTCGCTTCATTTGCTGCCTCCGATCAGCTCGCTATCGATAAGAACTCCGTAACGATCAGCTACCCGCGGCCTGGGCCCTAACCCCTTTATGCAGAGTAACTCAGCAAGTCCTTGGTGCCCTCAGAAGAGTCTTCAGACCCTTGGTCGTGACCCGTGCAAAACCACACGTAAGCCTCTGGGAACAGTCAGCCTTGATGACTCCACGGTCCCAACAAGTCACACAAGTACATGGAGGGAATGGGGAGCCAGGCCTCCCGTTGACGCGGGCGTCCTGTTTTCATCACGCGTCACTAAGTGCGGCTGACGGCCCCGGGCACGACCGCTCCTGTTCCGCAACAGGTGTCCGGTGGCTGCCTCGTGGCTCTCGTGGCCGATGCACACGGAAGGGCGGGCTGGCGGCCCGCGCGCTTGACTGGTCTGTCCCCGTGGCTGTGTCCCTCCACCTCACAGTTTTGGGATCCGCTCTAAGGGCCCACGTTTCCATTCCAAGGGCGTAAGAGGAGGAAAATTAAGCCTCCTAGATGGTTGACCTGTCTGACCCTAACCAGACATCCCCGTCCCTGATAAAAATTAAAGCTGAGGATTTTGTCATGCTTAAGCAAGAGAATAACCCGCAGACTTGAAGTAACGTTCGCTTTTTGTTTGCCTTCCAGTGATCTCGTGTGGAAGCCTCTCCTTTCCGCCAAACGGTAACAAGATTGGCACGCTCACAGTTTATGGGGCCACAGCTATATTTACGTGCAACACGGGCTACACCCTGGTGGGGTCTCACGTCAGAGAATGCTTAGCAAATGGACTCTGGAGTGGCTCCGAAACTCGCTGTCTGGGTAAATCAATCTATCATCTGGTATTTCTTTAATTTAGCTAAGCCTGAAAAATAGACTGTGGTTGGGCAAGGCGTAACACCTCTTGCTATAAATGTTCCAACAGAGAAACTAAATCCTACCTGCGGTCTTAGGGCTACACTTCACACAGCAACTTCTTTAAGTATCGAAGGGGATTATTTTTTAATCTGGCCAATAAATGAAAGTCGCATATTGCCTTGAGTGACTTAGAAACTATTTTCTACAGCGCTGAGGGTGTCATCGCAACTTTATGCCATCAGTTTAGGACACACAAAAATGATACTCAAAAATATGACATGCTTTATCTTTAAAAGAAATTTTACATTGTGTCAGTAAGTGGAAGTGACTAAGATCAATCAGCATAAGTTCAATGAATTATTTAGAGAAGAGTGTGTGCGCAGTCACGTGTTCTTCCTTCACTTAAATATTAAAATTTTCTGCATGATGATTTAAAAAAATTGAGTTGAAAATCTTTTTCGTTGAAAAAAATCTAGTGAATAAACATAAGAAATTGTTGAATTGGCAGCTTAAAGCACGGACTTACCATGCTCCTGTAGGTCTCCAAGTAATCTTTAAAATATGTTAACTGCCTTTTGTCCTTTTGACCTCTTTGTGGGACCTCAGTAATTTTGTAATCGCTCAAAAGCTATAGAAGCTGGAAAGTTTAAGCCTCTGACTCTCCATGGGCTGGAAATCACTTCAGGAATGAAGCCAGGACCAGTAAATTTTGAATAGTAAAAATCTGGTCTTTTTACTTGAGATAATTTGAAGAAATGCTCGGGAGAATTTGGGGGAAAAGAGAGAGAGAGAAAATGAATCTAAATAATAATTCCAGAGAAAATCAACCAACGAAAGGAGTTTCTTTCTCACTCTTATCCATGAAAGGACACCTGCTTTCTTTCTTTCTTTTTTTTTTTCATTCAAGAGAGAGAGGGAGAGTGAGTGAGCAGAGGGGAGGGGCAGAGGGAAAGAGAGAGAATCTGAAGCAGGCTGCATGCTCAGCCCAGAGCCCTATGCGGGGCTCGATCTCATGACCGTGAGATCATGACCTGAGCTGAAATGAAGAGTCAGGCGCTCAACCAACTGAGCCATCCAGGTGCCCCTGACACCTGCTTTCTTTAAGTTACTGTCATACCTATATGGAAGCTTCCAGCATACCCTGTGTGTGTAAATACATATATTGTTGCTGAGTGTGGTCAGTATGGTTGTCAGTAGACTGTGAAACTTCCTTGGAATGTGTGTGGGATTTTGTGTTGATAGTCACTAGTGTCTCTGAGATTTTCTGTGCCTTCCTATGTGTCATTATAAAATGTCTGGTCATTGAGTACCACTCTCCATAAGGCGGCCCTCCTTCGGGGTAGCTCTTCTCTGTTACCTTGAGTGACAGACACTTGGTGCTAGGAAGGCAACCAGGTGGTCTAAGAAACGTACTTGTCTGCTCTAATTGCGATAATGGAAAGCAGTGACAATTTACATTTGACTAATGACCTACTGGTTACAAAAGCCTCATGAGGTGAGATGGTTACTGTGGCCTCAGGGAGTTTGAGTGGCACAATTTCTATAGGTGACATCCTGGGGTCTGCTGTGGTCTTGTTGATTCCAAAGAAACCTTCACTTTTTCTCTGGTGTTCTTCTTGACTGCAGATAAGGACTTCGAAGTCGAAAGGTCGAACAGCGTGTTGTATAGTTGTCTGGGCCAGTGTGCCGCAAAGTACGGCTTAGGTACGATACAGTATGTCTTAGAAGCTTTTGGGAGAGGGAGTGTTCTGAAGGACTGGAAACTGAAAATAAAGAGGAATAAAACTGTCTGGAAAAGAATATGTAACACATTAGCGTAGTAGAACCTAGATGTAAAATATAAGGAATGATAAAATTGGAAGAGGCAGAGAATATGAAAGAAAAACTACTAGAAAAATATTAGATAGGACACATTGCCACATATATTTATAAAACAACGAGTAAAGGATGGGTAATACACTTAGTATAAATATTTCAAAAGTCAGCGAATGCAGTTGCACAACTACCACTGCGACTTGAAAGTGTAATTCGTGATACAGGCACACCTCCGAGATAACTGTGGATTTGGTTCTAGACCAACACAATAAAGCAAATATTACAATACAGTGAGTCAAGTGTATTTTCTGTTTTCCCCATGCACATAAAAGCCATATTTACGCTATACTGTAGTCCAGTAGGTGTGCGATAGCATTACGTGGAAAAACGATGATGTACAGTTGACCCTTGAACTACACGGCAGTTAGGGGCTCTGACTCCTCCCTCCTGTCAAAAATCTACATACAACTTTTGAGCCCCTAAAAACTGAACCTCTGATAGCTTATCGCTGACCAAAAGCCTTACTGATAACATATAAATGAACACGTGTTTTGTATGTTATGTGTAATATATACTGTATGCTTACAATCAGGTAAGCTAGAGAAAATAAAATGTCCTTAAGGGACACCCGGATGGCTCAGTCAGTTAAGCTCCATCCAACTCTTTTTTTTTTTTAATATTTTTATTTATATTTGAGAGAGAGAGAGGGAGACAGCACGAGTGGGGGAGGGGCGGAGAGAGAGGGAGACACAGAATCCGAAGCAGGCTCCAGGCTCTGAGCTGTCAGCACAGCGCCCGATGCAGGGCTCGAACTCCTGAACCATGAGATCATGACCTGAGCCGAAGTTGGACGCTCACCCGACTGAGCCACCCAGGTGCCCCTAGCTCCATCCAACTCTTAATTTCAGCTCATGTCAAGGTCCCATGGTTGTGAGATCAGGCCCCACGTCGGGCTCCACACTAAGCGTGGAGCCTGCTTGGGATTCTCTCTCCTTGCCTCCCCTGTGCCTCCCCTGCGTCTCCCCTGTGTCTCAAACTAAATAAATAAGCCGAGAGAAAATTTCTTCTTCTTTCTCCGTGCCTCCCCTGTGTCTCAAACTAAATAAATAAGCCGAGAGAAAATTTATTAAGAAAACCTTAAAGGACAGGAAATACATTTACAGTGCTGGATTTGCTGAAGAAAATCCACGTGTATGTGTACCCACGCAGTTCAAACCTGCGTTGTTCGAGGGTCAAATGTACACGACTCAATTTAAAAATACTTCATTGCTAAAAATTGCTACACAAGCCGAGCTTTCAGCTGCTCACAACCTTTTTGCTGGTGGAGAGTCTTGCCTCAGTTGTGATGGTTGCTGACTGATCAGGATGGGGTCAGCTGAAGGTCGGGGTGGCTGTGGCTGTTCCCTAAGATGAGGCAGCGTGGAAGTTTCCCACATAGACCGGCTCTTCCTTTTATGAACAACTTCTCTGCAGCATGTGATGCAGTTTGACAGCATCTTGCCCACAGTGGGACTTCTTCCGGCTTTGGAGCCACCGTCTCAAACCCTGCCGCGGCTTTCTCAACTCGGTTTATGTCGTGTTCGCAGTCCTTTGTTGTCATTTCAGTGACCATCACAGCATCTGCCCCAGGACTAGATTCCATCTCAGGAAACCCCTTTCTTTGCTTGTCCACATGAAGCGTCTCCTCATCTGTTCAAGTTTGATCGTGAGACGCGGTCCCTCGTCCACTTGTGACTCTCATTCTCTGGCTCCTTCCACCACGTCTGCCTCTACTTCTCCATGAAGTCTTGACTCCCTCAGCGTCATCCATGAGGGTTGGAGTCCACTTGTTCCAAACTCCTATTTATGCTGATATTTTGACCTCTTCCCATGAGTCATGGATGTTCTTAATGGCATCTAGGGTGGTGAGTCCGATCTGGAAGGTCTTCAGGTTACTTTGCCCAGATCCATGAGAGGAATCACCATCTATGGCATCTACAGCCTCGTGAAATGCATTTCTTCAGTAGTAAGATGTGAAAGTTGAAATGATTCCTTGATCCACGGGCTGCGGAACGGATGCTGTGTTAACGGGCGTGAAAACCGCATTCGTCTCATCGTGCGCCTCCATCAGAGCTCTTGGGTGACCAGGCAGAGCACAGGCAGGTAGAGCACAGGCAGAGTCGATGTAGCCCAATTCTGAAGGGCCCGCGGATTTTCAGAATGGTACGTGGGCATCGGCTTGCACTTAAGGCACCGGCTGCGTTAGCCCCTGACAAGAGCGTCAGTCTTCCTTTGAAGCTCTGGAGCCAGGCATCGACTTCTCTCTGGCGGGGAAAGCTCTGCAGCATCTTGTTCTAACAGAAGGCTGTTTCACCGACTCTGAAAATCTGTTGTTTGGTGTAGCCACCGGCACGAATGATCTCCGCTAGATCTTCTGGAGAATGTGCCACAGCTTCTGCCTCAGCACTTGCTGCTTCACCTTGAACTTTTATGCTACAGAGACGGCTTCTTTCCTTAGTCCTCACCGACAAACCTCTGTTGGCCTTAAACTTTTCTTCTGCAACTGCCTCCCCTCCTTCGTAGCATTACAGAGAGTTCGGGCCTTGCCGGATTAGGCTTTGGCTTAAGGGAATGCTGGGGCCGGTGTGATCTGTCTAGACCGCTCAGACTTCCTCCTTGTCAGCAATAAGGCTATTTCAGTTTATTATTATTCGTACGCTCACTGGAGTAGCATTTTTAATTTTCTTCAAGGGCTTTTCTTTTGCATTTACAACTGGGCCAGCTGTTTGGGGCAAGAGGCCTAACCTTTGGCCCAAGGCTTTCAACATGCCTTTCTCACTAAGCTTATTCATTTCTGGATTTTGATTTAAAGTGAGATATGTGTGGCTCTTTCACTTGAAAACTCAGAGGTCATCACGGGGTTATTAATTAACCTAATTTTAATACTGTTGTGTCTCAGGGAATAGGACAGCTGGAGGAGACAGATGCAGCAGTCAGAACACACATGACATGTATCAGTCAAGTTCACGGTCTCATATGCACGTGGTTTGGGGTGCCCCAAACCCTGTTACAATAGTACCAGCAAAGATCACTGATCACAGAGCACCATCACAAATATAATCAAATATAATCAAATATAATCAGGTTTGAAATGTTGTAAGAATTACCAA